TTCGCGTGCGCGGGTCAGACGATCGCCCCCTCCCTCCCTCGCCCTCTTCATGCTGAACCGTGTTCATTTTTTAATTCAAGACTTCTCCGAGTTTTTTGGCTAGGATTGAGCCGGCGAGAAGACAAGGATGGGACGGAAGTTGCTCGCGGTAGGCATTGACCTTGAAATTTGTACTATAGAGCGTGCAAAGAACGTTTTGCTTTTGCTTGTACAAGCGCCACCAGGCAGGCAGGCAGGCAAAGCTGTATACGCACAGCCGCGTGAGTGTGTGCGCCAGCAAGCAGTGGTGATATAGGAAATCCCTCAGCAGCACATTGGGGTCTGAAATCACAGCGTCTGCCGCCGTAGCGCTAAATATATCTTGTTTATTTTCGGCCGAGCGCGGTCTGGATGACTCGCAAGAAATGCGCACGCACGCACCAAAACCGACGTCGCAGACTATCAACACCTCAGCTACCACACAAAAACACACTCTACAGCAACTACACACACAACTTCACGAACACGAACTAAGCACACAACACACACGCACGAACGCACACCCAACACAGACGATCGCACGGCGCACAACACACACAGTCAGCCAAAATCACGCACGACGCACGCTTACGCACGCACGCACACAACGACACACACACACAACTACACACACACCACACGTGCGGGCGTGCGGGCTGCGCTGTCTTGGGCTGGCGTCCCGCGGCGGTGATATTTCGCGCTGCGGCTTTAGTAACTGGCTGGCTATCTTCGGTATCTGATGGGTTGTAGGTATATACTGCTCGCGTCGGTGGCGTCGCTGCGACAAAGTGGGGCGATTGTGTTTTGGCCTCTAGGGGGCCGGACTCCCGGGCCGGTACTACGTAGAATTACGCATTTGAAAACATTGATCAAGGCTCTTTGCTGTGTGCGGACGTCTGTCGAGACCAGAATGAGCCCAGTAGAGAGCGAATAATGAGATGGCGGAGGGACGCGGGGGGTAAGCGCGTGGATAGCGAGATAGTGCACTGCGGTATAGAGCTAGAGAGTAGCGGCGCGAGAGAGAGCGACAGTTGTGCTTAGCTATTCCAACCCGCCTGAATAACAGTAAAACTTTTTCCGCTCTCGGTATTAAACTTCTCCATTTTCTGGTTTTTCGTTTCGTTCGGTGATGCTATAGGTGCAATCGCCGTTAACTAGTGGAAGGTTGATGAGGAAGGTTGTAGGTGCGGCGGAGGTGGAATGGATAAGAAGGCATAATTCGCTTCTTACAGTTGGTGTTTCGGCCTTTAATCGACAGTAAGGTACCTGCCCGTGTTTTAGGTTCGCGGGATTAGGCTCGCAGGGTTGCAACGTGTTTGCCGCTACCGATCCACTCGCTGTCTTTGACAACGCATGTTTTGTTCTTTCGGCTCTCGGCGCTTCTCGCGTGTGTGCCGGTGTGGCGTGCGGGTGAGTAGTGGTGTATTGTGCTTTAATAACGTCTGCTAATGATGGCTGTAGGCTCTTTCTGCCTTGTGCTGTCTCTCTCGTCTCTCTCTCTCTCTCTCTTCTCTCATCTCTCTCTCTCTCTCTGCTCTCTCTTCTCTCTCTCTCTTTCTCTCTCTCTCCTTCTCTCTCCTCTCTCTCTCCTCTCTCTCTCTCTCTCTCCTCTTCCTCTCGTCCTCTTCTCTCTCTTCTCTCTCTCTCTCTCTCTCTTCTCTCTCTCTCTCTCTTCTCTCTCTTTTTTCTCTCCTCTCTTCTCTCTCTTTCTCCTCACACTCTCTTTTCTTCTCTCTCTTCCCTCCTCTCTCTCTATGCTCTCTCTCTCTATCTCTGTATCTATGTGTGTTCTCTCTTCTACTCTCTCTTCTTTCCCCTCCTCTCTTCTCTTCTCTCTCAGCGCACGCGAGATTTGCTGTCCCGTAAAGTTTTGCATGCACAGTTGTTTATGTTCTCTTTGACTGCATTGCACGTGACATTTTGCGGTGCATAAAATTTTGCGCGGTACAATGTTGTATGTGTGTGATGCGTGTGCGTGAAATGGATATTCGTTTCGATTAGAAACGACAATTATTAATTAAAAAGTAATCGACTGTAAAAATTATGCTAACTAGTATAATTTTTGTTCATGATAATTATAAGGTTCATAGGATCAAAGTTATACTCAAACTTGCAGCTGTCCTTCCCGCCTCCCCCCCCCAACACCACACAACTTACCCACCTTCTTGCGGGTATCGTCGGTTTTCAGGTTGCTTTGCAATGTTATATCGGGTTGTGGGGGGTGTTTGTACTATACTGGCGTTGTAGCGTGAGTGATCTTGGCCCCCTAATGGACAGAACATTCCGCCAGTCTACATTAGTGCATTGACATGTCTAGGGCATGGTGCATGGGCTAGAGGCTTTGAGCATGCGCAATGGTAGTTGGTGAGATGGGCGGGTGACTTTTGTGAGATAAGAGGGAGTATATCCATGTACACTCTCAGTTATTTTTAGATTGCCGATGCATTGAGTGCCAAACGCGAGAGAGAGAGACGGAGAATTATCGATGATAGGGGGGGCGTCTCTCGCTCGGCCCTTTCGACATACTGCTTATTCCTAGGAAGAGATGCGTGGAATGTGATCTCGCTCGCTGTGGTTGTATACGCTTTCGGGATCGGTCGGTATGATTATCCGTAGTCGTCGGAATTGTTTCTCACCCGAAGTTCACGCCTCTGTTCATATACTTATTAGTTATATTGAACTGAGAATGCTCGCGGAGTGCTCGAAAGTTGGTCGATTTTCTAGTGAGAGCGCAATCATATTGATCGTTTCTGAAGATTCAATTCTATGGGTGCTGCTGCTGATACGATGTGGTTTTGCTGTGTGTGCAACTGTTTGCAGGTTTCTATATATATATTGCGCACACGGATTGTAGTTGTGTGCAATTCGATATTTTGGTGTGATGGGTTGATATGATATTAGGTGTAGTAATGTGCTTAGAGATAAGATAGAATAATAATAATTATGTATAATGGTGTGCTTATATATTTTATAATATATATCAGGAGTGTGAGGTGTTAATTTGTCTAGTATGACGCGTTATTCTTTGCTCGCCGTGAGAATTTTATTTTCAATTCGCGATCTGGGTGCGCTGTGAGAGGTAGTAATGGATGTACTGATTGAAGCTGTGAGTGAAGACCTAGTTATTTATGTGATCGTACACTCGTTGTTCTATTTTGTGTGCGGGGCCGATGTGCCACTTAGGACCGACGTGGTCCTGGGAAAGGCGGATGTTTTATTTGTTATTAATGCTTTTGGAGAATCTAGTCCAGTCAGTGAGCTGATGGAGGTTGGAATTGCGCGCGCCATTGTTTGGATAACTAATTTGGTTCGTGGAGGACGTGTGGGAGGTTCAAAACCGATTCAAGTTCGTATTTTATAGTACCTGATGCCGGTAAACGATGGGCATAATTTTCAATGATTTCTTTACGGGGATTTAATGTTTTCGTTGTGAATTTTAGCTCGAATTTTCGCTTAGTTTCGTGTTGCAGACCGCTTCGCCTAGGCGAACCCATGTATCGTAATCGCTATTGTCGCCTTATAGGAGCACGCGGCCACAGTAAATGAAACGGCGACTTTACTCAAAGTGAGCTGCCGCTAGTTGTGTTGCGTGTGTGTGTGTGTGCGTGAGTTGCGTGCGTTGCGTGCGTGGTGCGTGTGTGCGAGTTTGGTGATGGTAGGAAAGGAGACCAAAGAGGCCGCACCTAAACGTTCAAACGTTGTCGTTGCCCTGAAGACAATTTTCAACTGCACGGAGCGAAGATTGAGAGAGGAGAGAAGGAAGATAGAAAAGGAAGAGAAAAGAAAGAGGACGTGATGAGGAGTTGTGACGTATGAAAGTATCATTATTATTGTTGTATGAATGTGTTGTTAGAATTAGAGTGGTGTTACGAAGCAAACCGAGATATAACATGAGGAGCAATGAGGAAGGCTGAAAAGGGATTCGAGGTCAAAACATTCGAAGCAGCTGCGGATAACTCTGCTGAAAAATATAAATCTAAGGAAACAAATCGTAACATGTCTATGTTATAGATAATTGTAAAGCTATTTCCAACTTTTGGGGACGGAGAGAGTAGGGAAATAAATTTGATATTGGAGAGAGGAGAAAGTATCAAAGAGACCCCGTAAAGAAAGAAAGAGAGAGCTAGATGATAGATGGAGTGGCTATTCTAGATAAAGTAGTTGCATGGGGAGTAGCATTTGAGACGAGGAGAGTGAGCAGACACGAGAGACGAGCAGGAGGATTGTGTGCCAGAGATGCAAGTCCGCCGAAGAGCGTTGGTGTTCCTTTATAGATCTCCAAGATAATATAGCTTCCTCAGTTTGTGGAATGAAAAAGAGTAAATGCGAAGCCCAGAAAATATGACCACCTCAAAGAGAGACCAGGAGTACCTTTCCCAAGACTTTGTCTGACCGCGCGGTGACTCTCTGGAAGATGTGGCTGCACGGGTGTGTTCTTAGAATAAATCATGAATTCGTGCTTGTATTTTAGCCGGCACATTGCAAGAAAAGGGTAAGTAGCGTTACATTAAAACTAAATTAGCAATGTGGGACCGCTTCACTCTGCCTCCGGAAGCAAGTTGCATCAGCGCATTCTTTACACAGATTTGATTAAGTCCTCATGTTTAGGCATTTGGCTTGTCATTTCTTAGCCTGGCCTATAACAACGTTAAACTAGAAATGTTTTACAGGTTCCCTTTTTCAAGTTAATGACCTACCTCACCTTTACATTTGTCAGGCCATAATTTAGACGCCACTGTTCGTATTGACCGCATTTTGTGGCCTATGTGATCTACACGTCGTGTTTAGTGGACTGAGCTCGTGCAAGTCAAGTGAAGTCTATAAAAGGCTAAGTAGATCTCTCGACCACACGGCGTAGCGAGCAGAACTCTAGTACAGAAACTTCAGTTATTGGCAATAGCGTTGGATTTGTAGGATTAAACGCTAACGTATGTTTGGTTTCTAGCAGTCGTCGTGTATTGTCGTCGTTCTTGCCATGCTTAATTTGTGCGTCTCTCGTCTCTCATCCTTCTATCTGTGTCTTTTCGCTCTCAGTGTACACGTGGCAAATATGACGAAATTCTTCTCGGAGTTTAGCGATACGTCGGCCGCGTGCTTTGTTTGTGTAGGGTCGACAATATTGTGTCAAGATATTATTCAGGGTGCTTATTTTATGGTACAGGGAAATAAGTAGAAATAATATGTGTGCTGTTCTATTATTAGTTATTAGCTGGTGTATGTCTGTAGAGAAAGCTTTAGTTACGTAATTTTGTTACGCGTCTGTTTCTGGGGTACGTGTTGCAATTAATGCCAGTGACTATTGGTCGCAATCAAGATGTTGGAAAGCTGTGTGTCGCCACCTGAATAGAACGCTGTTCCAGAGTGGTCGCCTGGTTTGGGGACGCTTAGTTGTGCGT